TCCAGATGTAAGGTGGTCCCAGCAAATGCCAGGACAAGGGGAGGTATAATAGTGCTGCCAAATATATTTTAGAGGAGGGAAGTGGCAGAAACCACCTCTATTTCTTGCCTAAGAAAATCCTATGTCACCATAAAATGGCAGGTGACATAGAATCATAGAATCATTGAGTTGGAAGAGACCTTGTGGGCCATTCAGTCCAACCTCCTGCCAAGAAGCAGGAAACATAAACACACACACACACACACACATATTATGGTGCTTAGGGATTGAATTTGTTAGATAAAACAAGAAACTTCACTACAGAAGAGTGTGGATCTCTTTTGCTGCAGTAACCCATCCTCAAACAGATCTTTCTATGCGTAATATGGAGAAAGATTACATCCTGCTGTGTTATCTATCTATGGCAGCAGTCCCTTTAGAACAACAGCTCACAATCCTCTTCTCTGGCCATCCTTTTGTGTTAATACAGTCAGCCTTGGGTATTTGCTGCAGTTTGATTCTAAGCCCCCCCCCCCCCCCCCACAAATAGAGATACCAGAATGCTCCAATCCCATTACATACACCAGAGTAGTAAAATTGGGTACCTTGGATAAAACAGCAAAATCATGGTTTGCTTTTGGGAAGATTTTTTAAAAATATTTTCAAGTCATGGATGATTTAATCCATTGCACAGAACCTGTGGATATGGAGGGACAGCTGTATAACTGATTCCATGGTGATGCAAAAGGCAAGAAAGGGAACATTTTGGTCCTGAAGGCTGTTTTTACAGCCATACTCCTTGCGGCAGTGCTTTTCTACTAGCAAAGGATGAATTCCATCTCGGAGAAGCTTCCCAGAGGATGGATTTTACCTTTTACCCTGTTTTCCATTTACCTGGAGCCCCCAGTGGTACAACAGGTTAAATCCTTGTGCCAGCAGGACTGAAGACCAACATATCAGAGGTTTGAATCCAGGGAGAGTGCAGATGAGCTCCCTCTGTCAGCTCCAGTTCCCCATGTGGGGACATGAGAGAAGCCTCCCACAAGGATGGTAAAACATCAAAAAAAAATCTGGGTGTCCCCTGGGCCACGTCATTGCAGATGGCCAATTCTCCCAAACCAGAAGCAACTTTCTCAAGTCGCTCCTGACATGAAATTTTTTGTACTTGTTTGAAAAATGCTTCTTTTTCCAAACCAAAAACACAGGACCGTTTTCTTCTGTGCTAGGATGTGCTTTTGTGAATCAGTAGGATCCATAGAGGGAAAAGGACAGAAATGTCCACTGGATTCTCCTAAGCTTTGTTTCTGGCGCGTAGGTTAGTGTGGTGGTCATCCTTACACTACATGCCAGACCTGTGCTTCTCTGCTCTGAGTTGATGCCACTGCAATTTAATCGATGCCCTGTCCAATGTCCACTGATCTCGAACAGACAAGATTGTCTCCTCCTCTTGGTACAGTGACACCAGAGACTCTGATCTTGTTCACTTGTGTTTTTCAGCACAGCAGTTCATTGAATCTGGCCATTAGCCACTACTTTTAAATGTGTGTATATATATATATGTGTGTGTGTGTGTGTGTGAGAGAGAGAGAGAGAGAAGATTTGCTTTCAGCATTAATAATAATATAAAACATGGCCATACAGCCTGGAAAACTCACAGCAACCTATTAGCAACAGAGTTTGCTTATTTCCTGCAGGCAGTGAGGATGATTAAACAAAAATTAATATTAGACCCTGATCTCTATCTTTTTCATTCTCAGCTCCGATTGCTCATCTTTGGACTCATTCAGCAGTTCCTTTAGAAACCAAATTGGCGGAGATTAGTTTCAGGACTGTGGAAGCCAATAGCTGAAGTACAGCAGACAGTTAACAAGCTCTGCAGGACAACAGAAGCAAGCCTTACGCTATTACTCAAATGAAGTTACTCATCCTTGACAACACTGACGTCATGATGTGCCAAAATTGTTCGGTGGGGAATGGCAGGGAGGGGGAGGAATCCTATGGGATGAGAGGCAACTACCAAGCAACACTATGAACTTTTAGAATCTGTGAGTTTTCTTTTCCCAATCAACATTATATAAAAATCTGGAGAGGATTTGCAGTAAACGGATCCATTCCTATGTCTGGCAAAACATTATTAATTTGTTATAGAGGAAAAAGAGGAACTGAAGTGGGAAGAATGGGAAAAATCCTGGATCTCAATTGTTAATCCAGGAGACATTCTTCCTGCACAATCTCAGATATCTCTGGCATCTCAGGTGTGAATGAAAGGCACTCTGCATATGCTCAGGAGCACCAGCCTTTAGATTGCTGAGTTTCTGGCAAGATACTGAAGGACCCAGCTAGAAATATCCCTTATTTGGCAGGAAGAGAGCTGTGATGGTTAAAAGCAAAGCCAGTTTGAATTGCCAAGGGGATTCCCTCCTGTAGGCATCTCCCTTGTGCCCTGCCTTGCCATCCCCAACATCTGCTGCCAGTTTTGCTCCACTTGGCTGCATTTGAGCTTGCTTTTGAGGAGCCAAGAATTGCAGAGCTCAAGGGAAAGAGGGCAGTTCTTTTGCCCAGGCATGGGCAAACTTAGGCCCTCCCTCCAGAGGTTTTAGACTTCAACTCCCACCATTCCTAACAGCCTCAGGCCCTTTCATTTTCCCCCCTCAGCCACTTAAGCAGCCAAGGAAAGGGCTTGAGGCTGTTGGGAATGGTGGGAGTTGTAGTCCAAAACATCTGGAGAGAGGGCCCAACTTTGCCCATGCCTGCTTTAGCCCCTCAGTACCCCTGAGCTCAAATGTTGCCATCTTAAGAAAAACAGGGATGGATTGGGAAGCCAAACAATTCATCTCCTCCATTGTAGAATGGATGCAATTTGGCACTACTTTAACTGCCATGGTTCCGTGCTATGGAATCATTGGAAGTTGTAGCTTGGTGAGGCATTAGCACCCTTTCAGAGAAAAAGCTAAAGATCTTGTAAATCTACAACTCCACAGCAGTGAAAGGGGTGTTGAACTGTAATGGAGATGCACCCCATGTGGCTAGAAGGAGCCTGGAACCGAGTCCCCAATAAATAGGCAAACAAACACTTACTAAGATCTTGCTTTCTTTAAAGCAGCGTTTCTCAACTTGGGTGTCGGGACCCTTGAGGAGGTTGCAAGGGGGTGTCAGTGGGTTCATCAAAGACCATCATAAAACACAGTATTTTCTGTTGGTCATGGAGGTTCTGTGTGGGAAGTTTGGCCCAATTCTATTGTTGGTGGGGTTCAGAATGCTCTTTGATTATAAGTGAACTATAAAGCTCAGCAACTACAACTCCCAAATGTCAAGGTCTATTTTCCCCAGACTCTACCAGTGTTCACAATTGGGCATATTGAGTATTTGTGCCAAGTTTGGTCCAGATCCATCATTGTTTGAGTCCACAGTGCTCTCTGGATTTAGGTGAACTACAACTCCAAAACTCAAGGCCAATGTTCATGAAACCCTTTCCATATTTTCTGTTTGTCATGGGAATTCTTTGTGCCAAGTTTGGTTCAATTATGTCACTGGTAGAGTTCAGAATGCTCTTTGGTTGTAGGTGAACTATAAATCCCAGCAATTACAACTCCCAAAGGTCAAGGTCTATTTTCCCCAAACTCCACCAGCGTTCACAATTGGGCATATTGGGTATTTGTGCCAAGTTTGGTCCAGATCTATCATTGAGTCCTCACTGCACTCTCTGGATGTAGGTGAACTACAACTCTAAAACTCAACGCTAATACCCACCAAACCCTTCCAGTATTTTCAGTTGGTCATGGGAGTTCTGTGTGCCAAGTTTGGTTCAATTCCATCATTGGTGGAGTTCAGAATGTTCTTTGATTTTTGATGAACTATAATTCCCAGCAACTACAAATCAATCCCCCCCCCCCCCCCAACCCCACCAGTATTCAAATTTGGGTGTATGGGATATTTGTGCCAAATTTGGTCCAGTGAATGAGAATACATCCTGCATATCAGGCATTTACATTACGATTCATAACAGTAGCAAAATGACAGTTGTGAAGTAGCAACAAAATTAATGTTATGGGTGGGGGTCACCACAACATGAGGAACTGTAGTAAGGGGTCGCAGCATTAGGAAGGTTGAGAAACACTGCTTTAAAGGAAGTTGCCTTCCTTCAAAAACAGGCAAGGGGAGCAGAGTGCAGTGCACAGCAAAGTGAGGCTTAAGGGAGATCCTGTATAGAAAAGAGCGCCCTTGGGAGACCCCATCCCTCTCGCCCCCAACTCACAGGCCTTTCAGCCACTTGCATCTCCTGCCAATTAGAAATAGGTAGAGCTGTCACTGGCAGCCCTCTGCGTTCACAGAAGGGACATGAGCCTTGATCCGGAGAGAGGAGGCCCCTGGTGGTGCAATGGGTTCAACCCTTCTGCCGGCACAGGTCAGAGGTTCGAATCCGGCGAGAGCATGGGTGAGCTCCCTCTGTCAGCTCCAGCTTCCCATGCGGGGACATGAGAGAAGCCTCCCACAAGGATGGTAAAACAGCAAAACATCCGGGCGTCCCCTGGGCAACGTCCTTGCAGACGGCCAATTCTCCCACACCAGGAGCGACTTGCAGTTTCTGAAGTCGCTCCTAACACGAAAAAAAAAATCCGGAAAGAAAGAAACTTGAAAAAGAGAGAGGGGATGGAATGATAGAATCATAACATTGGAAGGCACCCCATGGACCATCCAATCCAATCCCATTCTTTCGGGCAGGGATACACAATCAAAGCCCTCCCGACAGGTGGCCATCCAGCCTCCGTTTAAAAGCGTAAAGGGAGGGAGAGAGAAACTCGAAGAGCGGGTTTAGAATAATAGAATCTTCTTATTGTTATTATTATTTATTTAATCCCGCCTTTCCCCCACGAATGGGACTCAGAGCGGCGAATCCTAGAGTGAGAAGGGTTCCCAAGGGCCATCCAGTCCAACCCCGAACATAGCATCCAAGCCCTCCCGACAGATGCCCGGCTCAAAAGCCCCCGAGAAGGATAGGCGCGCCTCCTTGGAGTCCTTACCTGTCCGAGGAGTTCGTACTCCAGTTCCCGGGCGATGGCTTGAGCCGCCTCGGGCCCGCCGGGGATTTCAGCTGCCCACTCGTTAACAAACTGCCTCCCCGCCTGGCTCGGGCTGGCCGCTGCCCAAAGCAGAGCCAGCGCCACACAGAGAGGATGCCCAGCCCAGCCCAGCCTTGCCATGGCACCACCCGGAAAGAGGAGAAACCACAAGACTGATCAATCAATCAATCAATCAATCAATCAATCAAGATGCGGTCCTCTTCTGGGGGGGGGGTGGTCTTCGGGTTCCTTCTCCTTTGGTTGCTACGCGATCAGTGCCATAGGCATAAGCCCGGGGACCCCAATTGCCTGCCTCTTCCCGCGTGGCGCGCTGCTCGGTCTCTGGCGGGGCTCCTCATGCTGCCCGGACCCCCGCCCGCCCCACAGCCAAGGGAGGAAGCCAGGAAGGAGGGAGGGAGGGGGAGGGAGGCAGGCTGCGGACACGTCAAGACGACGGAAGCCGAGCCCTGACGTCAGGTGCCCGGACTCGCTCTTTCGGGGGAGGATCCCGGGGGAGAAGAGGCAGCCGCGCGCGGGAGCAGCAGGGAAAAAGGAGGAGGAAGAGGAGGAGGAGGAAGAAGAAGAAGAGGCGGGGAGGCTTCCCCGGGGACCATTGGGAGCTGTCCATGGTGCGAAGGGAGGGAGGGAGGGAGGGGGAGAGCCACGCCAAGCCCGCTCACTCTCCGCTTTTTCCATCCATCCAGTCATCTTTCTCTTTCTCTATCTCTATCCCCTTCTCTATCTCTGTCTCTATCTTTATCGCTGTCTCCACCCCTTCTTTATCTCTATCACCATCTCTATCTCTATCTCTGCCCCTTCTCTATCTCTATATCTATCTCTGTCTCTATCTCTATCTCTACCCCTTCTCTATCTCTATCTCTGTCTCTACCCTATCTCTGTCTCTGTCTCTATTTCTCTCTCTCTCTACCCCTTCTCTATCTCTATCTCTACCCCTTCTCTATCTCTATCTCCATCTCTATCTCTATCACCATCTCTATCTCTATCTCTGCCCCTTCTCTATCTCTATATCTATCTCTGTCTCTATCACCATCTCTATCTCTACCCCTTCTCTATCTCTATCTCTGTCTCTACCCTATCTCTCTCTCTGTCTCTATTTCTATCTCTATCTCTATCTTTATCTCTATCTCTACCCCTTCTCTATCTCTATCTCCATCTCTATCTCTATCTCTATCACCATCTCTATCTCTATCTCTGTCTCTACCCTATCTCTCTCTGTCTCTATTTCTATCTCTATCTCTATCTTTATCTCTATCTCTACCCCTTCTCTATCTCTATCTCCATCTCTATCTCTATCTCTATCACCATCTCTATCTCTATCTCTGCCCCTTCTCTATCTCTATATCTATCTCTGTTTCTATCTCTATCTCTATCTCTACCCCTTCTCTATCTCTATCTCTATCTCTGTCTCTACCCTATCTCTCTCTCTGTCTCTATTTCTATCTCTATCTCTATCTTTATCTCTATCTCTACCCCTTCTCTATCTCTATCTCCATCTCTATCTCTATCTCTATCACCATTTCTATATATATCTCTACCCCTTCTCTATCTCTATCTCTGTCTCTACCCTATCTCTGTCTCCATTTCTATCTCTATTTCTATCTCTATCTCTATCTTTATCTCTATCTCTATCTCTACCCCTCTATTTCTATCTCTATCTCTGTCTCTATCTCTATCTTTATCTCTATCTCTATCAACATCTTTATCTCTGTCTGTACCCTATATCTGTCTCTGTCTCTATCTCTATCTCTCTCTTCCCTTTCTCTATCTCTATCTCTACCCTATCTCTATCTCTATCTCTATCTCTACCTCTTTCTACCTATATTATCTATCCATTCTTCAGCTAAGATTCTCTCAATTTCTCTCCATCCACCTGCTTCTGTTGTCCATCCATCAATCCAGTTATCTCTATCTATCTATATATCTATCATCATCACCCCCTCTCTCTTTATATGTATATATTAGTATCTATCCATCACCCGCCTGCCTATATTATCTATTCATTCTTCAGCTAAGATTCTCTCCTCTTTTTCTCCATCCACCTGTTTCTGTTGTCTGTCCCTTCATCTACTTAGATTCCCTCTCACCTCCATCTATTTCCCTGTATTTTCTATCTTGTCTATTCTCTTTCTTTCTCTATCCATATAGATAAAGAATATTATCTGCCTATCATTCATCAATTCATCTCCATCTGCCTATATTATCTGTCTCTGTAGCCCTCCTTCTGTTTGCTTATTCTGTCTATTGTCTTCTCTATATTCATCTGCCTATATTACATACCGACCTCTGTATCCATACCTCTGTTTATCTAACACCTCTCTATCTCCATCTGTCTATATTATCTCTGTGCCCATCCATCTCTTTGTTTCTTATCTATTTATTCTTTTATTGCTATCTGCATGTAATATCTATCTATCAGTATTATATCTATCTATCCATCCATCACCTATCTCTCTCCATCTGACTACATTATCTCTGTATCCATCCCTCTGTTTATCTATCTAATACCTCTCTACCATCTATTTATCTATCTTCCTTTTATCCATCTTTCTGCATATATTATCTATCTATCTATCTATCTATCTATCTATCTATCTATCTATTATTCTATCATCTGTCTTTATTATCTATCTTTGTATCCAGCCAGCTTTCTGCTCTCTCTCTCTCTCTAATCCGTCTTCCTTTCAGCCATCCATCAATCTTTCTGCTTATATATTCTATCTATCTATCTATCTATCTATCTCTATCTATCTATCTATCTATCTATCTATCTATCTATCTATCTATCTATCTATCATCTGCCTATATTATCTATCTCTATATCCAACCATCTTTCTGATCTATCTATCTATCATCTATCTATCTATCTATCTATCTATCTATCTATCTATCTATCTATCTATCTATCTATCCATCCAAACCACCTATCACTGGCTTTTCTCCAGAGAAGTGTTTCCATTTCTCTGAGCAGTGAGGGGGTTTGTTTTTGCCCACAAATAAATCTAGTCAGAAATCAGTTTAAAATTTTTCACAGTGCCATCTTAATCTGATATCAAGCCTCTTTCTGAAACTCTGACAATCAAGAGCGACAAAAGATCATTCCTTGTGGTGGGAAGGGAGGCTCTTCTCCAAATGTGTGAAGCTTGTAAACAAAAGAGAGAAGGGGAGGATGAGGTTAAAGGTAGACCACCTTCCTCCATCCCTCGCTCCAGTGTGGCTGGCTTGAGCTTAGAAAGGAAAGAGTCAGAGAGATTTTCAGATATGTGTTCTGGGAGGAATGGATGGAGAAGAGAAGCAACACCCTAGGGGATGAAGACGTGGTGGGGGGAGAAATGCACAACTATCTGAAGCTGGAATTTGTTTGTTTTCTACCTCCAACCTGACACTTATTCAATCCGGGCAATATTTTCTGGGCTAAATGACAAGGAAGAAAGAAAAGAGAACAGGAGAGAGAGAGAGAGAGAGAGAGAGAGAGAGAGAGAGAGAGAAAGGAAGAGAGCCCATTTTTTAGGAAGGAGGGGGTAAGTGGGAAGATGTGAACCTTATATTTTGGCAGCCTGTCATTCATTCAGAGTCAAGAGTCAATGATTCCATCTTTTATATCAGCTCATCTCCCTGTCAGTTAAGCCTCAGACTCTCAGAATCCAGGCTTCTTGGCTTTATAAATGATATTGCAAAGGCACCTTAAACACTCACTTGTTTGATCTGGCACAACCATTCATGGACTGCAGCTTCCTTCTCCAAATGCATAATGGCCCTGCCTAACTTGTTATACCAGCCAAACTCTAACTTTGAAGTTCCTTCTAATGTTCAATCAAAATCTGCTATCCTGCAACTTAAAACCATTTGACCTGGGTCTAGTCCAGGCCTGGACAAACTTGGGCCCTCCAGGTGTCTTGGGCTTCAACTCCCACAATTCCTAACAGCCTCGGGCCTCTCCTTAAGCCTGAGGTTGTTAGGAATTGTGAGAGTTGAAGTCCAAAACATCTGGAGGGCCCAAGTTTGCCCAGACCTCCTCTAGTCTCTGAAGCAGCAGGGAACAAGCCTCCCCTCTTCTCTCTATGAAAGCCCTTGACGTATGTAAGCACTGCAGTCATGCCATTGCAGTCTTCTCTTCACCAAGCTGAACAAGCCCGGCTCCTTCAACCTTTAGCTATAAGCTTTTGTTCTCCACACTTGTTATCAAACTTGTTGACATTCTTTGAACCTGTTCCAACTTGCTTATTTCCTGCTGAAAATGAGGCATTTTCATTTATTTCTATTTAATGTAATGTTATCAATTTTTTGCATAATTTTCTAAGTTTATTAAGGTCATTTATTTTCCCTATCTTCTAATGTTTTGGCTACCCTTCTCAGTCTTGTGTCATCTGCAAACTTGATCAGAATTCCCACCATCCCATCAATTGGAGTGTGTGTGTGTTTACACCATTGATTTAATGCAATTTGACACCACTTTAACTACCATGACTCAGTGCTATGGAGTCATGGTAATTGTAGTTTTACCTTCTCTACCCAAGAGTGCTGGTGTCTCATCAAACTACATCTCCCACTATTCCATATCACTGGGCCACTGCAGTCAAAGTGGCATCAAACTGAATTAATTCTACTGTGTAGATATGCCCTGTCATTAATAAATATGTTGAAGAGTAATGGCCCTAAAGAACAACCTGACTCCACTCGAGATCACCTTTCAGACTGAGGCATAGCCGTTGATAGTAAATCTTTGCGCATGATTTCCCACCAACTGTGGATTTCCCTCCTACGTGTCTTTCTGATAGACCAAAGGTAGGGAAGATGTGGACTACCAAAGGTTGCCATAAGCCCTATAAAGGATAGGCAGTTATGAGAGATAATGGGAGTTGTGATCCAAATGCATCTGGAGGACAACGTGTTCCCACTCCCTATTGTATTGTTTATGTACCCAACAAAGCTGTTGTCCTTTGGTATTGTATAGTAACTGAAATGCTAATTGGTGATGATGAACTAGGGAAGGTCATATAGCTTGATATAACTAGAGGATTTTCCCTTTCTTCTAGACCACAGGATATTTTGAGAAGAGAATAGATCTACTAAACACTATTGGGTTATGTATGCAAGTTAAAGCAAATCCCACTAGTCAGTAAGTGTAATTAATTGGTTACAGGGGACTTGTAGGTAAACACACATACACAAATAGGTGTGCCAAGGTGCGAAGCCAATTTTGTTTAATAATCCATATTTACTGAGCAACCTCCTTCCTTTCACTGTTGCCACCATTCTCTCCTCCACTTTCACAGTTCTTATCCCAACAGTCTTTTAGATTATGTCCTTTCCCCTCAATCAATTGGGATTTTTCTCTGATCCAGCTCTATATAAAAGCTTACATTTTCTGTTCTGCCTTTGTTTCTTTTCTAGGTTCTTTCCATTCTCTTATGAACGATTATTTTCTTGCTCCAGTTTATTTCAAAGCACACAGCTCCATCCCCTCAGCTATTCTACCATTTTCTTTAAATTTCTCAGAGTGATGGTAATTGAAACTAGAGCTTGTTCCAGGTCTGTTA